CAGAGAGGGAAGCACTCGATCGCTCCAAGATCAGAACTAATGGTCGGTAAATCACCATTGGGATCACGGAGCATCGAGAACCCTTCCACAGCTAACATCGGTGCTTCTCGCCATCAAGCGGTCCAAGCGGGTCTCGGGTCCATCACAGTCTACTAAACATCCGTCCCAAGCTGAAGCTCATTCAGCGACTTCCAAGCCGTCATCCATCGACACAGATAAAAACCGAGGACGTACCTAGTCGCTCCACCTCGACTCGTCTACGAGAAGGGGAGAAGCATCATCGCGTTCACCGCACGGTGACCCCATCTTCCTTTTGAGATTTTCCCCACTGGGTTTGCTCAAAGCGGTTTCTCACCTGTCCGAGTATGTACGTAGACGCTTGCAGCAGGAAGAGGACAAGGACGAGGATATCCGTAGACAGTATATAGTACAATCAGCAAAGTACCAACTTTGCTGATTCTTCAATATCATTCTTTGGCTACATCGATTGCAGAGGAGACACGATCCATTAGCACCAGAGCCCCTAGATTTCCACGAGACATCCATCGAGTTCGACCCAACCTGCGACCTAGTCATCGTGTTTCCAGTACCGTTACAATGCGCTACTTGATATGTTCCCTACTGTACCTTTTTCGAGAAATCAGATGATCTGATAGGTTTTATAGAATGAAAGTGTTATGTGCCTAAAGATGCTGGAAGATGACATGACAGGCTTCCGTGAGAAGAGATCCTCTTGGATCTCACACTCACTTTCCCCATTTGAAACTTTCCCTCTTCAGGCAACTCTCAATTTCATGCACAGCCCTCCTCCATTCAAAACAAAGAAGGCCAGGAAATCAAGGTAGTTGACAAAAAGCTGTGTTGTTTTTCATCCTTCCCACATCTCCTTTCAGAAATGCTTTTGGGTGCTTTCAAATCCTCAGGTGAGAATGAAGCCTAGAGTAGCTTGAAATTATATGCAAAAAGAGACCAAAATTCAAAGAGACCTGCTTGAATTGGCAATCATGGATTCAAACAGTGACACAAACAGTACTCTTACCATGGTCCTCAATCTAGGCCTCATGAGCAAGCCTCTTCCTGATAGCATTTTCTGGCGAGCTCCGCCAGCAGATGCTGAGAGAGATGGAACTACCTTGATTGTGAATGTGCAACATTTTGGTGAAAAGGCTCGATGTTTTATAGCTCTGGTTGATCTATCTCATAATGCTATGGAAAGAATCATGAGATGGGCCAAGTTTGATATTGCAGACAGAGAAGAAACAAGAAGAAGAGAATTTGATGAAAGACATGACATTAATTCACCAGATTTATTGATTGGTCATCCTTTTTATCAAAAAGCAAGATAACTTCTCAATGCTCAAATTTCCCAACTTCCTGATGAAGTGAGAACAACAATAGCATTTCACAGTACCGGTAGAAATTTAAAGACACAACGTTTGTTGGATCATATCTCCTATACGGTCAGTACTCAGCTTTCTGACTGGGTACAACATGAGCTTAACTCCTTGTGTGATGTTAGAGAAGATGGAATACAAGCTACACCTGTTCACCTTGAGACTCTTTGCATGTCCATTGCAGCTGACAATTGGAGACCGTGGTCATACTACTCTATCATGATTGATAAACCACAGAGCACCAACTTTGAGATTGAACCTGCAGACAGCTATATGGAGAATACAACAACAAATCCAAAAACACATATTACAGATGAAGAATTCATCTTGAGATCAAAGAAATTGGGAGTACAGATTCATACTTTCCCCCAGTGGACAGCTGCAAATGGAGTTGATAATCAAGGATTGCCACTATTCACCACACTCTGACAGTGAATCATCTGTCACAATGCAAAACAGTTTTCTCAACCCTATTTGTGCCGACATGAAATAATGATATGTAGCACAACTTTTGAGGTGCGACAAGAGCCTCGAGTTACAAGACCCAGTAATTCTTCCAAGTCTAACAAATACACTATATGTTGGCGTGTAACTTCCGACTATGAGACCTTACTTATCAGAATCCCCAATGGCCAATCTCATCTTCATCGTCTCCCTTGCACCTCTAACATCATGTACCCTTACCAACCCAACACCTTGATCAACACAATGAGATATCCAAACTGCGTCACCCCAATCTCTCTCATTTGGAATCTCTCGACCGATAGCTTGACCTATGAAACCTTTCCTACTTGCACCTATCAACCATGGATACGTCCTTATATCTATTTCTTCTATCCTTCCTATCCCCGCTACTCTACGTTTTCCGTTCTTTTCATCATCTTCATCGTTTTCAATGATTTGATCTGAATCATGGTATTCACCGCTTCTTCCTACTCTGACGATCTGTGGAGGTATTCTGAGCCTCGTCTTTCTTTCAACTTCCCCTTTGAGATTGATCGAGTTGAAAATCGGGTCGTATTCCTTGTCTCCATCTAGTCCACCTAGATTGAACTTTTCTTTTTCACTTCCATCGTTCTTCGTCCCCCGAATGATCGAGTTCACGTGAGGTGGAAGATTGCCATACCCCGTGAAATCTATTAGATTGGCTAAAATCCTGAGGTTGTCTTCGTAAGTCTTCGCAAACCCTAACCCTGGATCCAAAATGATATTCCATCTCTTCACACCTTTCTTCAACGCTTCCTTCACTCTCCCCCTCAATTCCTCCTTGACCCCCTCCACCACACCCTTCTCATACAATTTCATCTCTGGCAAAACCATAGATTTCGAATCTCCCCTAGAATGCATGATAATAACAGGAACGTCTAACTCAGCCATCATTTCTAACATTCCTTCTTCTTTCCCACCATGAACATCATTGATCATATTCGCTCCTGCTTCCACTGCCATTTTCGCTACTATAGGTCGATAAGTGTCGATGGAAATAGGGATGGTTCGAAGGATAGGGTTTGAATGAGATCGGATAGAACGAATGAGAGGTATAACACGATCAATCTCTTCTATTTCGGTACATGGTTCAGAACCGGGTCGGGTGGACATTCCACCTATATCTAGTATAGAAGGTGGGTAAGGAGAGAGAAGTGATTCACAAGTTGATATAGCAGATGGAAGATGGAGATGAGTCGAGGAACCGTCAGAAAAAGAATCGGGTGTGGCGTTGAATATACCCATGATGATTGGACCGAGTTGAGGGTCGAGTCGGAGTGGGTTGACGAGTACCTGCTTGAGCTCATCATCATGGAATGACAGTTCGTCGAACGTATCCTTATTACGAGATGGTTGGTGTGGAGAACCTGGTTGGGTGCTGGGAAGCGGAGGGAGATAAGGATGTTCGTGATGAAGTGAAGGTCGAGCGTCCCAGAATGGTATGATAGGTGACAACGAAGATTTCCCCTTTCTCATCAAAGCGGAGAGCATGTGAGAGACGGAAGGAAGAGATGGATGGGTGAAAGATGGTATAAGATCAGCCAAAGGTCGTAAGACAAATTCTCTCTCTGCCAAGCGTGGATGAGGTATTTCTAACCATCCTACTCCGTCATCATCGGGAGGTGATCCAGGCGTACCGATCAAACATGACATGTGAGAATAGGAAATTAGATCAAGATCGATGACACGGGGACCGTTCCGATAACTTGGAGTACGGCCGATGAGAGTCTCGGTACGTTTAAGTAGCCGGAGGAGGTCCAGTGGAGGGAGAGAAGTGGATAACTGTTCATCCTCAGCTTGTTTACCCTTTAAATATTAGACTTTCATGAGGAAGTGAGCTGTAGTGTCACGCATAAGTCGAGATCAGGAAGCTGAGACGGGACAGCAATGGATTGACTCACCTCGACAACACCATTCACAAACCTGTCTTGATCTTCCACATACATAGGTTCACTCTCGTACAATCTACTTGTCCCCATTATCTTCACTCCTTGATCTTCCAATTCTCTCAATGCAAGATGGATGTTTTTGGCTCTATCACCTATATTGGATCCAACAGCGATTATTACCCTTTCCTCATTTCCTCCCACTGAACCCCCTTCTCGATGAGAATAAGAATCCAGTTTAGAGCTTTCACCCGGGTTCTCCGCTTCGAACACATGAGTATCCCTAAGTGTCACCATTCTAACGTCCCCGTTCACGGTCTCAGACTTGCCCTCAAACTTATTTCCTGTTGGATCTGTTGGACGAGCAGTACTGATCGGCGCGGGAAGAACATTCTTCGAGATACCATGAGAAATGGCTTGAGAAGAATTCGGATAGTCCGCCAATGTCCGTCGTACGGTTATACTAGGCACTGCGAATGGTAAAGCGCTAGGTTTTCTTATTGTCAGGAGGAGCGTAGGGTTGTTTATGATCGGCGGATACGCAGAAGGTGGTGGGGCCGTCAAAGTCTGGAGAGTGTGAGCAGGGGTGGGTGTTGTGGAGGATGGAGGTGAAGCGAATAAAGGTAGTTGTAGGGTGTATTGAGATAGATGATGAATCATTGATTCTAATGTTCCGAAGGGGGATTTGAGTAGGTACTGTGAGTCAGTCATACACCCATTTCTAGGATTATCCTCATGCGTCTGTCGAACTGAAGCTGCCTTCAATGATAACAGACTGGATAGGTAGATGCGCCTGTGGAGAAGATCCTGGTGGAATATCCAGAGGCTGTGTCCAGGTCATAATGAGAAGACGGGTATTTCCGCTCGTGAAGAGTGAAGAAAGAATAGACGATGGGAGGAAAATGATGGACACAATTGACCCACTGAGTACACTTCATCCGCCAATGACTTATGAGACCATCCATCCAGCCTATATCCCTCAACTCTGAGATCCACTTCCACCCTCTGCGTCTCTTTCCTCTCATGTGCGTGCAATCCGACTATACACGTCACTCTGAGGTTGTGGATAAAGCACCATCTTTTCTCCTCATTCCCTCGTCCTACAACATCTACACTCTCATCCACTTGTTCGTGATTGTTACCATTCTGATCATGCTTGAATATCGAGCGTTCCCGTGAGCCGTCAAAGGACTCACTAGGCCCATAGACGTACATCCTACCATATTCGACGTAATCGGCATGTAACAAGCCCTTCCCCATCTTCACGGTCATCTCCACCTTATCTACCGCCTCACCACCTATATCGGAGACTACACCTCTCATAGCTTCCAAAAATGCTTCCGGACCGGTCCATGTTATGGTAGGATCGCAAGCTTGCTTGTAGAGCGCTTTGGAAAGGGATGAGTAGTTGATGCCTAAAGACGCCATATCGTCGTCTTGTGCGCATAGTGGGATGACGTGAGGTCGGAGATGAATAGTGACGGAGAGAAGAACGGGACATGGAGGAGGTGGTGAGAGTGAAAAGGCGGAAGGACCTAGACCATTGGGAAGATGGAGGGAGAGGTCGGTGATTTGGAGGATATCCGACATGGCAAAGGGGAGCTGTGAGGAAGACAATCAACGCATAGATAATGGGAGAAGAAACAGCTAGGTTTGTGTTATGACGAGCTATATCAGTAAGCACAAAGTTGAAGAAATGTCAAACAGGATCAGCCGAGAAGCAAGGGGACGACTTGAGTGGGAAAATCCAATGCGGGGCTCCAAATTTGTGATCGACCGTGGGAAACCGGAAAGCCCGAAGGGGGAAGGGGGACTCGGTGACAGCGACGAGGGTGATGACGATGAGATGCATGGGATCGTATGTGAGGTGAAGCAGAGAGCACTATGACAACATGTGATTTATATATACAACTTGATGGATTGATAGGTAGAGATTTGATGGATATGACTCCATTACAAGCTCATAAGTCTGTCATTAGTGAGGTCATTCGTTCTTTCACCATGAAGCTTACCTTCCCAACCACTGTCAGTCAGCCAAGAACCCACGGCGGGAACAATGCAATAGGAGGGATCCGGGAGGGAAGTACAGAGTGAGAGAGGTAACGGAGATGATGACAAGGACTTATGAGAAGGACTGACCCAGCTCTCAGAGTATACGTCGCTTCTGCCTCTGGCATGTCTGGAGAATCTTGCAATTTGGCAACACGTTCTTCACCGCGACCCTTACGCAGCTGCATCCTAGTGGCCGATCTGCCTGTCAGCTCGTTGATCATAGAGTAGAGGGACGGAAATGCTAACGCGTGTGCCAGTACGTGACCTGCCATGTCAGCAGACGAGCATTTCTTCTCTGTATTCACAGGCATGGAGATAGGTGACAGCAAGAGCGTAATAGATGCAGGAGGAGATGCGAAAGGACAAATTAGGCGAACTTACCACCGACCGGTTTGGCACTAGAAGCAGCCGCAAACCTGCCCGTCAGCAGCGATCACCATATCGAGGAGCGAATGACATCGCCGCTGCCTATCTGTAAGCTTAGTGACTTTGACCAGATGACTGCTTACTCCCGGATCCGCCTGCACTTGGTTGGTAAGTACCACCGCCAGGTTGAACTCTTCCGCCAGCTTTTGCAAACGGGCCAGGAATTGGTTTAGTTTCTAGCAAGGAGTCAGCTTCGACCAGGCAACATTTATGTAGCTGACCTGCTGCCTCTCGGACAACTCGCCTCGTCCGGAGTAATCTTGTCCTGTGACATCAATAAGAGCCTCATGGGAAGCGAGAAGGAAAACCACTCACGGAAGAGGTTCATGATGCTATCCACGATGAGGAGCTTGTAGCTTCTGTCCTCGACGAACCTGTCTTTCAGCGAATATAATCATGGTAACAAAATGCACTGACCTTACAGCAAGATCTACCAACATCTCGCATTGCTGTTCCGAACTCCAAGCTCGAGCACACAGGATGTTGTCCAATGCCATAGAGCTGTCAACTCCAAAACGATCGGCCACTGAACGTATACGATCCGGTCGGAATGTTCCCCTGTGACTCAGCTTGCCTCTATCTCGAGGTCACATGACACTCACTCCGTGTCGATATAAGCTACCTTTCCACTGGCTCCGCCCTGATCCTCCGGCATCTGGGTGGAGACGCAAAGCGTATGACATAATTGAGTCTCAACTATGAGCTCACACACCTCACACAGATGAAAAATCACTTTGCCTGTCCTGAATTCACCAAATACCTCCGTGATACTTTGGGTTGATACGCCTCCCCCGAGGATCGTGTCTCCAGCTTTGGATCCTGTAGAGATGTAAATGACATTCTGTCGACGTTCCGAAATCTCGAGGCCCGTTGCGAATGCCGATGGCTGGCATGTCAGCAGCAGTGCGGATGGGAGAATGTGACTGACCAAAAGTTTCTGCGAAACTTCCTTACTATGTGAGCTGTGGCTTCGCAGGCAAGCCCCTCCAACAGCTCACCTTGATCTTCTCTACCTTCGCCTAAGCGGTCAGCGACCGAGAACGAACGGGGCTTGATAGTGCATGACGATCTTACCTCTGATAAACCCTATACAGTCAGCTCACGCTTCCCACCGATAGCTTAGGATAACGAAATATTCATGACTCACTTTGATCTCATTAGATTCTTTCGAGGTGTTTGAGCGATACCGAGGACAGTGACTATACCGGCGGCTTTGAGCTTGAGGATATCTTGGACATTGATGCCCTGCGGGGTTAGCAGAGTAGGCGGAGATTGGCTATCACGCATCATTCAGCCTCTTTCGATTTCAGAGTGAAGGCGGCTTCCAAAGGAGCGCAAGAGAGGGAAAGAGGTGGATAGCGTCAGAGAAGCAGGATACAATAAGAGAGCGACTCCTAAATAGCTGGAGAAGCAGTCAAAGAGGGGATGCTTAGACAGAATGGGACGAGAGGGAGAAGACGAGAGGGAGATGAGAGAGAAACGAGCTCACATGAGACTGAAGCTCGTCCACTGACTAGATATATGTGATCAGTCAAGTAGGGATACGATCTTGCCACACAGTGCCAGCAGTGATGGGGAATGAAGCTCACATCGTATCCCTGGAATGGATCGTGCTGATGATCAGCTCGGTCTCTTTCACATCAACCACACATATGAGCTTCTGATTACCTGCCGAATGTTTGTCTTCTATCTTTGAGCAAAGGACTTGGTGCAATCCCGCTCTTTCCCCACATCCTTGAGGCCGGTGGCCAGCGGCAGTGGACGAGGAGGAATGTCTGACTCACCTCGTCTCCGTTGTCCGACATGATGTATTGCTTTCTGTCTCACTTGTTATGATGAGATCTGCTATCTCTATAGTCAGTATTCAGTGAGGCTGCTGTGTGCTAAGTGAAAGAAGAAGAGAAGGGAAAGTAGTACAAGTTACAAAGAAAAGGTTGACGTGACTGTCTTTTCTTCTGACGCACAGACCTTCCCCACCCCATCTCCCCCACTCGGCATTATCCGGCATTACCTCCACATAGCCACGTGGCATTCCCCCCCACGCTGGAAAAAAGTCGAGATTGACCTATGAGATTGTTGCCATTCCACCTTTTCTCCATAGAGTACTGTATACATCATGTTATCGATATCACGTCCTATACATAGGTCATCTCCTGGTATGAGAAGAGTAAGATCGGTCAGAGGTCTAGCGACTCCCACTTCTCTCCCTGTCAAAGATTGTACTTCTCTCATTCCCCCTTACCCACGTCTCCTCAAGACGTTGGAGAAAGTTCGGGATGTTTTACCCAAGGGAACGAAATTGACTTTGGCGGAGAAGATATTATATTCTCATTTAAGAGATCCGGAAGAGAGTTTAGGTGGAGGGGGGAAGGTGAGAGGGGAGAAGTACTTGAAGTTGAGACCGGATAGAGTTGCGATGCAGGTGAGTCAAGTGTCTATCCCACTTTTCTGTTGGGAAATCTCTCTCCGCTCTTCTGCTCCTCTCACCCCTATGACAACCTTCTCAGTATGATGGGAGGCGGTCTTGACACACTCATGTGACTAGTTGAGCAGTAAGATGACCAGTCATATGCTAACACTCAGGACGCTTCAGCTCAAATGGCATTATTACAATTCATGACCTGTCAACTTCCTTCTTGCTCCGTACCCGCTTCTATCCATTGTGATCATCTAATCCAAGCTCAAACCGGTGCATCTACCGATTTAGCCAGATCGATCGAGACAAACAAAGAAGTCTTCGATTTTCTAGAATCAGCAGCGAAGAAATACGGTATAGAGTTCTGGCGTCCTGGTTCAGGTATAATTCATCAAATCGTTTTGGAAAATTACGCTGCTCCAGGTTTATTAATGTTAGGTACTGATAGTCATACTCCCAATGCTGGTGGTTTGGGTATGTTGGCTATCGGAGTTGGAGGAGCGGATGCAGTGGATGCTTTGACGGATACACCTTGGGAATTGAAAGCTCCGTTGATCACGGGAGTTGAGTTGATTGGGGAGTTGAAAGGTTGGGCTACACCAAAAGATTTGATTTTACATTTAGCGGGGAAGTTGACCGTCAGAGTGGGTTACTTTTCTTCTTCTTCTTGTTCCTTTTCAATTTTCAGTACTCACCCGTTCAATTGATCATCCCCATTCCATCAAGTACTCATACCCAATGAATGCTTTCTTCTTTTGACTCAAAGTCGCGGAATTCTCCTACACCTATGCGGTTCATGCTTTTTTGAGAGTATCAACTAACTCATAGGGAGGTACAGGACGTATCCTCGAATATTTCGGTCCCGGCGTTTCATCCCAATCCTGTACTGGATTAGCTACCATAGCCAATATGGGAGCAGAAGTCGGTGCTACAACTTCAACATTCCCTTATTCCCAAAACATGTCTTCATATTTACATTCAACCGGTAGAGGACCTGTTGCTGTCGCAGCGGATAAAGCACATTCTCTCGGATTTTTATCTTCAGATCCTGGCTCAACATACGATGAAATAATAACAATAGATTTATCTAAACTCGAACCACATTTAAACGGTCCATTCACACCTGATTTAGCAACACCTTTATCAAAATTCCCTTCTTTTTTAAAATCCAATAATTATCCAACTTCATTATCATCAGCTTTAATTGGATCATGTACGAATTCATCATACGAAGATATGTCAAGAGTCACTTCGATAGCAAAACAAGCAGAATCAGTAGGGTTAAAATCAAAAGTACCATTTTTGATAACACCTGGTTCTGAAATGATCCGCGCTACTATAGAACGTGATGGATTACAAGAAACTTTAGAAAATGTTGGTGGTACGGTTTTAGCGAATGCTTGTGGACCTTGTATAGGACAATGGAAAAGAGAAGAATCTAAAAATCAAGATAATATAATCCTAACTTCTTTCAATAGGAATTTCAAAGCTCGAAATGATGGGAATATGAAGACGATGAACTTTTTAGCTTCACCTGAAATCGTTACAGCCATGTCATTTTCTGGTTCTCTCTTATTCAACCCTATTACAGATTCTATAGTGTTGGAAAATGGGAAAGCATTCAGATTCGAGGTTCCAATCGGGGATACTTTACCTCCTAGAGGTTATGAATTGGGTGAAAAAAGTTATATACCTGAACCTAATCCTGAACCTGTGTCGGAAACGGAAGTCAAGATCAGTAAAGATAGTCAAAGGTTGGAGGTTTTAGAACCTTTTGATTCGGTTTTCGAAGATGGACCTAGGGAGTTGGAAGGTTTAACTTGTTTGTTGAGAGTGAGGGGGAAATGGTGAGTGGAAGGGATTTCTTTCATCACGCCATCACCGAATCGCCCAAGCTCTCCACCATCTCCCTTCTCTGTTTTGTCATAACATATTTGTCGAGTCCACTCCATTTCAGTCATGATTCTTGACTTTTCTATCCATCCGTTCTTCCCTTTTCAATACTTCTTTTCCCCTTTTCCAATCCCTAGCTCTTTCTCCTTTTCTCTTGCCCTCAACACTCTAATCTGATATGATATCGCCTCAGTTCGCTTCCTCGATCGTCCTTTGGCGTATTCACAATATGATTTACCTCGCATCTTTTCGCCGCTGGGAAGAATCTTGTGGTGTGAGCGATAAGACCCAGAAGATCGCATGGGCATTGTCAAAAATAACGTCGGCGCTGATATCAGTACAACCGATCATATCAGTGCCGCAGGGGCATGGTTGAAATACAAAGGCCATCTTACTAATATATCGGAGAATACATGTGAGTTGATATCTTCTCATCCATCCCACACACCCACAGTCCCACAATCAAATCGCGATCCACTGGTCCAATCTTCTATCAGAATTCACCATCTCCTTGTAATCTTTTCTGTGTAAGGTGACAAAGACCCACTCCATATACAGGCGTCTGTTCATTGTGGAAAGAGTGGTAAAGACATGTACCATCACAACCACAGTCGTTCCTCCATTCATAGAAAAAAAGTGAAAACATACACCCCTCCATCAGCAGACATCTCCCCACTCAAAGAATGGAATACAAAGACCTCGAAAGGACGAGAGAGACTTTGGTTGAAAGTGCCTGGGCAGGGTTGACGATGACGAAACAATGTTAACTTTTAGTGATGACTGCTGTCAATGACGAAAATGGTCAAATCAACGTTGCTGTTGATCCTCTCACAGGAGATGAAGATACTATTCCTCGAACTATGCAGAAATATAAAGCTAGAGGAGAACCATGGATGTTGGTGGTTGATGATAATTGTGAGGATCACAGCTTTCTTTATATCCTTTCTTCCCTTCATATCCCCTGCCCATCTCCATTATCCCTTTCCCCTCCCGTAACCTCTTTGTCTCTCCATGATTCGTTTTCCGCCACAACTCGGATTTACCTTCCACACCCCCTTTCCCCTTTACATACCCCTTCCCCCTCCATAATCCCTTTTCCTTACCGTAAGAATAATCCCCTGTCTCTCCATGACCCCCCTCCTCTCCATAAACCTATCCTCAATTCCTATCTTCCTATTCTTCTTCTTTCTACTCTTCTTACACTCTTCTACTAAAATATGCTCTATGGTCTACCCGTGTACTTATGGTCTACCCATGCACTTATGATCTACCCATGCACTTATGGTCTACCAACGTACCGATACTGATATTCAGACGGAGAAGGAAGTGCACGTGAACACGCAGCACTCCAACCTAGATTCTACGGTTGTTCACTCATCCTAGCCCGATCATTCGCCAGAATCCACGAAACAAACCTTAAGAAACAAGGTATATTACCATTATGGTTTTCGGATAAATCAGATTATTCAACAATATCTTCCGGTGATATTATCTCAACCATTGGATTGAAAGAATTATTAGAAACGGGTAAAGGTGAAATAGAGATTTTGATAAAGAATGAAAAAGG